TCAAGATCCATGATAAATTGTTACAATTTACGGAAAAAAATTGTTTGGAAAAAAGTTGATACGTGTTAAGAGAATTGGTGGTGGACTGTGGTGCATATATTTTAGGGGTTAAGAAGACGTAACACTAACATTGGTTGCGTCCGTCTTACAATTTCGTAACATATAGCAATTTTTTACCCTCAGCAGATCACCTTTAAATTTGTTGATTTAAAAATTAGAGTGAATCGAACTATTCTAAAACTTAATGGTATGAAATAAGAACATTATCTGTGTTTGTGTCTGGGGTTCTTTTACGGTGGTTAAATTTATTACATTTTTGTCAAACCTACCCTAACCTACCCACGCTATTTTAAAAATGTTGATACAACTATAAAATTAATCAATTCTCAAAAATGTAATTTTTAAAAATGTCATATTACACAATCGTGATACAATGCCTGTATTTAACAATAACAAGAAGAAAAAACACTTGTAAACACTCAAAATTAATTTAATAACAGCATTTCACGAAATAATAAGGTTTTTGAGAAATACCAATTAGGATGGACAACATTGTCATAATTTCATTAAAAATATTGATTTAAATTTATAAATCTGGTTTTTAATTTAAAACGTTTCAAGTAATCAATTCGTGTGTACCTATAATTCGCATCAAAAGATGATATTATAATATTATACACAACTATTATAATCTTGTTTTAGTAAGTAAAACTCATTTGGTACGGAAACGTTACCGTTGCATATCATGAATATTAACAATTGCATAATTTAATTAATTAATACTCAGAAATTAAAATACAAATTGCTTTTACTTATAATATTACAAAATTAAATAGGGATTGCGTTTGTAATAATATAATTATCGGACTATAATAATAATAATGCAAAATAGTTCGTGAAAAAAAAAAACCGTTTTAATCATCATATCATATAAAATGTCATTATTATAGTGTAGGTATACTGTATTTTTTTATACTACTAATTAAGTATGGTTGGTAATATAATATTTCCATATTGTTTAAATTATAAATACAACATTTTTTTTTATATTAATTTTAAAAACTATGCCAGTGAGCCGATTATAGTAGTCATCAATGAATTCAATTGAAAAAAAAATTTGATAAAATACTTGTTTAGCTCTTATAATATGTATAAGTAGCATGAAGTGTGTCATCGAGTAGTCAGTTTTCAGATAAACTCAAATTGTTCTCTGAAAAAGTACTCAATACCTATAACAATGTTTCGTTTATTTATACTGCTACTGTTGACAAAAAAGACTTAGAGATTAAAAAAAAAAAACTTGCATTTAAATTCAGCAACGTATTCTATTTACAAAATACTCATTTGAAATTTAAATAAATGACGCGTTTGATGATGTACGTTTATTTTATTTTTTCACATTTCTGAGTCAGACAATTTTTTTTAAAAAATTTAATCAGCATTTTTATTATTATTTTAGTTTCTTAAGGTCTGCGACTGCTTGTCACATTGAACTCCAGCGCCAACATGGAATCGCACTACTATTGCGACAGGAAAAAATATCGCTATAAAATATAATTATATTATTGCAAATAAAATTATGTTCGTTTCGTATACCTACAGAATAGATTAATATGTCGAAACGTTCAATCATGTCAAATACTATAACGGAACCGACCGTGTTCAACGGGACTACTTCAATTATTTGAATATACGGAGAACAATGTTTTGTGTTAGTGGCGTGTTACATATTACATTATCACAAACCAAATATATTTCGGACACAATACGAACCGTTTTGATTTTGCGAGCAGTGTAAATATTTATGATAACAAATTCCGACGTGAGTGGCCGATGCATTCGGTTTGCGCGTACCTATATATCAGCGTTATCACTTATCATAATATGTTATCAGTTCGATTTAGTCGATGTAGTTTGCGACTATATATAATAATATCATCTCATCAAAACCATCATGGTCAATTTCAAAATAATTCAATTTCATATATTATAAATTTATTATTGCGGTGTATTTAAGACGCCTGAGGGGGACCAAGTGTTATTTGTTTTTAAGTTAGAACCGTCTTGTAGCGGAATGTCTACCCAGCCCGACGGCTCATTTGGCGTTTTGAATGTTATAATATTGTAATATCATAATCGATTATTTATTTTTTGGGTGTGATTACCTAAATATATTATGACGGGTGCACTTGACGGTGGCATTATACTGGTTGTGCCGTAACTCTAGTCCGTATTGGTTTTATTTTTTATTTACGTTTGTATTTAATTTAACTATTCAAGCCGAGAAAAGTATTATAACAGTACATTGATCGTGAATATTGTTTCGTTTTAATAATAGCGTTCCGATAAGAAAATAATATATCCTATTGTTTTATCTCAATAATCTTGATATATTGGAAAATTAGAATAGTCACTGCATCGTCGTGCTCAAACTTTTTAAATAAGTTTCTTTACAAACAAAATAAATTTAAAATCTTTTTACGTATAATCTATTAATATGCATACTAAATTTTTACAGACATATTATTAAAATGTATTAATACGATATTAATCGAAATCATCAATTTTCAAACACAACTTTTCCAATCCATCAACGTCAATCGGTTCAATAGCACTGCAGCTCGTTTTATACTCGTATATTATGAAACGTGAACGGTTTTATACGACTTCTATTATAAACGCGAATAAATGTATATTGAAATTATTTCCTAGAAGAAACCGGCTACTGAAAAATAATATCAATTGAATTAAACTGTAAGTTTCAAAAACAAATCATGTTTTGCATAGACTGACGTTTTCGATAGTAATATACATTATTATATAATTTTATTTGATGTTACAATATTCTTTGAAAAAACCTAATGAAAATATAATTAAATTTAAATATGTAGTTTCATACAATATTTTAAACGTTATACTTACAACCGAACCCATTTTTTAGAATAATTGAATAAAATATATACTAGTATAATAATACTATAGTATTGTATAATACTACTGATAGTCAAATCATATTATATATGAATCATAATATTTTTTTTAATTTAATATTAATTGATAAAATATCTCAAGCGACCTTGATTTCGTACGAGTACAAATAAGTTTTTTGATCTGTATAATATATATGAAATCTCAATAGTAGATAATATTTTTCGATTCCATAACATTCAAGTGATCGTATTATAATAATAATTGATACTTTAGAGTTTAGAGTATGTATACAATACCACGAATGTTGGATGACTTGCTTAAACAGATAAGTACTCGTATTACATATTTGCTATTTATTTAAGAGGCACCTCTCATCATATTTAATTAGGAGTATTATGTGGAAATCTTTTTCGATGATATAATTCCATTTTTTTTTTTTACCACAGTCGTTGCTTAAATATTGGTGCAAGTGTGACAATTATATAATAACCCAACTCGGATTACTGAGTATAATTATTAATGAGTCTTTGAGTGATATAGAATTAATTATGAATCACTATACAAACAAATAAAATAATACGACACACCCAAAAATTGTTTTAGACCAATAATAAACGAAGAACATTCACGGGAGATCGTTCACTCTCGTATTCAGGACACCATGAAACTAAAAAGCGGACTTAATAACATACGAAACCACCTTATCTCAATGTATTGAACAAAACAAAAAATCCAATAACAACAACAGAGACATTTAATATTATCAAAAACCATACAATGGAAACAATAGCAGAAAAAATGGAATTACCTACGTACCGCTTTTAGGGTTAATTACAGATAAATAATGACAATTACCCCATTGTCATAAGGACAAATAAGAGAAGTAGTAATGACCATGATTAACCAGCACAGTTAGAATAGGACACACGCACTTAACCCACTCCTACCTTATCACCAAATATTCAGCTCCAACATGCATTACCTACTGTCAATCACCATGGGATCAAATTTCAAGAAGACATCGTGGACAATCTATTCAATAAGCAGCAACATGCACTCAACGAAGAAAACGGAGAAGCTATCTATAATTTTTTATTCATATAAACTTAAGTCAAAAATTGTTAATTATAAAGTCATTTGATTTAAGATTTGTTTACCACTAGGATTTAATTATAAAGTAGGCTTAAAACTTATATACATAGTTGTTGAGACCATAAGATATGTATATAAGTTGTGTATATTTAAGTACAAAATAGTAACTGATCAGTAAAATGGATCGTCTACTGGCTTTTATATGCAAGTAGAATACACAATATGTAAGACACCGCGGTTTGTAGAGATTTTCAAATTTATTACTACAACGGACAAACGTAAATAGGGACGAAGGGAGAAAATTGTAAATTATAGCACCCAATACATTTCAGATATAAATATATCTATGCAGTAGGCACATTGCGCTCTGCAGATATTATTTTTAAGTAATATTAGTGTTTTCTCGGATATTTTTCAAAACGTTTCTACACAACGCCACCACTTTAGTTCACCCAAAGTCAATACGCGTTTTACTTTAAAAAAATTGATAACAATATCGCGGGGTGTGGTGTAACAAGTGAGTATACATTGTTTTTATAATATTATACTGTAACAAAATTACACAAATAATTGTATACGGACATACAGTGTATTAGTACAAATTTATAGTACCTATATAGAATAGTGATTATACACCCATGTATGTACAGCAGTACTGATAATACAATTTATACGCGTCCGTTCGAAGCAACAAGTGCGAGCGTAATATGTACGTAATATGCGTATTATAATTAATAACAATAATTTTATACGAATTATGGGAAATTGGAAACATTTAATATTATGTCGTTACGCGACAGCGTGTGGTACTGTGGTTTGATTATTATTATTATTAAATTTATGTGAGACACTGGAATTACTTTTTTCGTAATAGTGGCACGTATGTTATGTTAGTGAAGCATGTTACAATCTATATTAATATTATTATTATATTATATAGGTAATACGATTTAAGGAAAAAAAAACAAAATATTTACCATCTTTTATGCTTTGAAGTACGTTTAGCATCATATTACTGTTGAACCCGTGTAAGATGAACTTATTTGGAAGAGACTTGACGTAGTATGACTCGGTAATATTTTCTACCGTGACCAATTGAGCATCGTGTTGGTTCTCTCTGCAATAAAAAAAAAGTTTTAATAATTGATATCCGATAAAACTTCTATTACATTGTACCTACCTAATAATTATTTGTCGATAGTCTTTCGTTAATATAATAATATGTGCACGTGTGCTAGACAATTAGAATAATTTCACAGACCTCACACCAAATAATTATCATGACAAAAAATAATTATAGCTCAATAACAATACCATTAAAACACCAAATTATAATTATTTGTAGGAAGTGACAAAAACGATTTTCAATTTAACGTACGTGCCACACAATACATTATTATATCAATAATCGGCTTATCGAGGAAATCAATATGTATAGATAATATTATGTGCAGTGTGCCAGTGTTGTAAATTATTTTAAAATAACTAACTAGGTACCTATAATAAATTAGTGATCGTCGAGTTATCTAATATAGTCTCTGCCGTTATAAATTATTAATTTCAACAAAAAAACAAAATCTATTTTTTCAAAAACCACGCAGATATTGTGTAATCAATATACCTATTGCCGTTTCAACTCGGTTTTTTTTATTCTTTCAAGATTATTTTTAAAGTACTGGCAAGAGTTGTTTATCTTTCACCCCAAAAGTCCAACTAGATCCAATTTGTTAATAGAAACCACAATCGACGTTGAAGTTTGAAGCCATTTTTTTTCTGCTCCAAAACGCGTGTTGACAGACGTGAAAGAAAGAATAAATAAATAGATAAACAAAATAAAAAAAAAACACACATCGTTGTAAAAACCAAAGCATCGTTCATCGACCCACTCAACATCTATAAATGAATCAATTCCTAAAATACAACTAAATTTCCACCTGTGTGGCAATTCGGCAGAAAATATAATATAATGATATTATATTTCATATACTACTATTTTATAGTCACCTGGTGTATAAGTAAAAATTGATCGAAGGGTCGGGACACACCGGATGGACAATAAACGTACAAGTGCCGATTTTCTGGTGGTTTTCGGCACATTGCGTGATCGAAAAACATAACGCCCACACAAGTAGCGCAGTGGCCGTACTGTACGTTGCTGCAAAACAGTAAATACAATAATAATTATTAGGTACCTACTATAATATATGATAATAATATGATATAAATAATAACCTGACCACGACAATTATTAATCACAAAACCCGGACCGTCGAGTTAATAACAATACGTACTACTCAACGTCGCACCTTATCGGATAAGACGGTATCAGGCGTTACTGCAGTTGATCTCAAAAGAGTGGAGGGGGGATAAATTCTCCTATGACCTTTTTTTTCAATATGTATAATAACTCATAAAATAAAACATAATATATAGGTATAATACGGTAACCATCAAATTATATGTTTAATGATCAAATATAGTCTATTCAGAATAAGATCATACCAGATTTACGTCGCAAAACCGATTTTGACCCTGGCCGCCTGATATGTTCCAAATCTGAATAGACTATAGTGAATGTTAAAAAATACCCCTCCCTCACCCCAACACCGCATCATGACAAAAATCATTCAATCGCCACTGCGTTACTGTAAACGATAACGTACGTTTAGGACGTAGGTACTACAATATAATTTATACGATGTATCTATAAAAATGTATATTTGAATATATGGGCCCATTGAGGAGTGAATTAAGAATACAGTGGCGTTAGTCAGAAAGCGGAAAAGGAAATAAAATTATACATTTAAGCAATGAAATATATTTCCGTTACACTTTTATCACCATATTTTTTGCATTGGAGTATGAATACGTCCTAAATAAGTTACCTATATTTAATAAATACGTTTGTTTATAAGGTAAAACCCTATAAAATAAGAAAAGAAAATTGACTGTAAAAACGTATATAATAAACGTATCAATACTCATCAAATTTTTGAATTCAAAATTTTGTACATTAATTCATCAACAATAAATTATAGCCTACAAGTTAAAACTGAAACCGATATAATAATTTAAAAACTGTATTTTTTTTGAAAACCTTTGTATCTTGTCATTTTGGAAAGTTTACTTTACACAACTGGTGATTCAAACGCTCGATCCTGCGAGTCAAAAAAAATAATAAACTAAGATTGAACGTCAATAGTCCAGGCCTTAAAGCCGATTTTAGAAACCGGTATAAACCGTTTAAAAACTGAAACCGAAAACCAAATCAAAAACAAAATTGAAAACCGGTATTAAATCCAAAACCGAAATTTCCTAATACCGGTGTTGAAAAATTTGAACCAAAATCGAAAAAACATTAAAACCGGTGTACAAAATCGAAACCGAAACCGAAATTTTTCAAACGGTTTCAAGCCCTGTAATAGTTATAACAAAAAATGCATATTTTCCACTAATTCAGAGAACACTTTTATTTTACCATACCTACCACTCCATTTATTCCTAATAAAAAAGTCAACCTTTATAATCAAATAAAACAAATTATGATTAAGAATGTGAAATTGGTGGGATTAAACACTAAACAAGTGGGTATCCCTCTACTGTTCAGTAGTTGTCAAGTATGTCGTTGTAATGGATGTGTATATTTGAATTTAATGATAAATCATAAAAACGATTCTGAGCAAGTACGACGTGGCAGACTATAACATCCTCGTATAAACAATCAAATTTAATAGTTAAAAAATAAAATTAATATAAATCGAAAATATATAATGGCTATAAATAACCTAAGTGTCTGGTGAACTTTTCATTTTGATGAGGGTAATTAAACTTGTTGGGAACCTGCTATTAGAATTTCTACCTATGAAAAAAAAACGTTTATAAATTTCTTATTGAAAATAGTTTACGAAATTTGAAAAATGTGTTCTCATGGCTATAAATAGCTCATAAAGAGTAAAAATTGTTTGAAAACTTTACTACGTATGGAAAATGGTAATTTTAACATTTGGTAAAATTTAAAGTATCTAAGACTATTCGTTTTTGAATTACTATAGAATATCAAAAATTGATATATGAAAATTCTTAAATATTTACCGATGAAAATAAAATATCATAAACATTTTAAATTCAAACACGCTCATAAAAAATTAATATTACTTTCCGGTAAACTTTTTTGTTTTTGTTTAAGATAGGAATATTTGTGGGGAGTCTTCAATCAACATTTCTAATGTTAGCTATGAAAGGAAACACTTTTATGAATTTTTAACTAAAAAGTAAAAATAGTTTTAAATTTTGATGAATTTTGTTGAAAATTGAAAATTATATAGATACATATAATAAATAATCGTATCTTTAGTATTTTTGAAATTAAATTAATGAAACTTTTAAGGAATCTATAGCATTATATTTTCAAGCTTTTTTACAAAATGTTTTTATCGAGAATAATTTTAAAAAAAAATTACAAATTTCAAAAAATTTATAAATAAAACTAGCTCAAAAAGAGTAAATAATAGTGTAATTAGGTACTCATTTTACTATCACAAACCCAAAATATTCCTACAAAAGTGAACTTGACAGAGAAGCTAAATTATATAACAAATATAATAATAAAGCAAATGCCACGACAAACGTTGACACTCCATCCATTTTTTTAGAAAAGATAAAAAGAGTTTTATATATATAATAGTTTGACTTAGCTACTTCGCAATTAAATAAAAAATATTAGGTATTCCGAAGAAAGCTGTACACAGAAAGGAATTGAAGTTATGACGGGTATGATAAGACTTTACTCGATAGTGACTGTACCGACCGTTTCATTTCATTTCTTTCGAAATGAAACACAACAATACTAGGTAACAGTTATTTTATCGTAATTATTTCAATTGTTGTTTTTAATTTCGTGTATGGGCATAAATTAAGATAAATGTTGAAGCCGAAATATATATTCAATGTTTTATTGTTTTCTACATTTTCTAACGAAAAACGGGCATTGGCAATGCGTATTGTTCTGCACTTATTTTATAATAGATACTAACATGGGGTTCAATGTGTTAAATATCTAATAAATATAATACTAAACATCGTTATAACCCTGAAATACACTCGTAGCTGTTTCATTACCAAAACATAATAATGTGTATAGAATAAAGAAATATTATACTAATCGGACGTGGTTATAGGTAACGTATAATACTAGGTAGGTACGAAAACAATATATTATGTTCAGGTACGAGTAAACAATTTCTTCTCTTCACACCAATTGAGGTATAAATATTAATTGTGACTAATAATTATTAATATGATTAATCAATATCGTTTTTATTGAGACAGATAATTATTGCAAAGGACTTCTAGTGTTTGCATATTGATTAAAACGTAAAAAAAAAAGGTCAACTATAGAAACAAACTCACCATATTATATAACGACAAAGACGAATTTGTAATTTTATGTTGCATATTTATATATTATTTTTTACATGATATTTAAGTTTATTTTTGAAAATGTTTCATTCAAAAATACGTTTATCAAAACAACAATCGTTTCTTATATTATATGATTAGATTATTTGAAAGCCTCCGCGCACTTCCGAAATAGCTATACCGATCGATTTAATATTTCAGATTACACGTGTATACCGACTTAAATAAATTGTTCGTGTCTTATTTAACTTCGTATGTATGTATGTATGTATGTATGTATGTATGTATGTATGTATGTATGTATGTATGTATGTATGTATGTATGTATGTATGTATGTATGTATGTATGTATGTATGTATGTATGTATGTATGTATGTATGTATGTATGTATGTATGTATGTATGTATGTAGGTATGTGTGTGTGTGTGGGTGTGTGTGTGTGTGTGTGTGTGTGTGTGTGTGTGTGTGTGTGTGTGTGTGTGTGTGTGTGTGTAAGCAATCCATATCTATCACACTTATGATGATTCTGACATTTGGTACATAGGTGTATACCCGTAGATGTGCAAATGGAAGCCAATTATTTTAATTTTGCATTTTAAAGATGTGCTCACATAGAGAATGTTGTTGGCTCACGAAAAACGAATATTTTTTTCGATTGTAAGGACCATAAATAAATAAGTATTATACTTGCTGTGTGTCTCAGATCATTGATAGATTATAAGGTGATTTTGTATAATATAATATAATATATATTACGAAATGTGAGGTCGTATCTTGTTTTAATAAGGTAACACCTAATATTATGCTGTATTGTAATGTAGGTACCTGCTTACTTTTGTATATTAGTCTAATTTTATTTGCAACACAAATTATTGTTTATTAACAACTGTGTAAGTGTGAACGCGAGGTTCAATAATTAGTTCATCAACTAATTACTGAATTTCACACACATTACGAATGTAATGTAAATATTTCAGTTTTATGAACCTAATTTTTATTAAAAATATTACGTCGTTATCATCACACGTGCACGGCCATCTGCAAATTTTCTGTAGTCCCAGAATGCCGTCGGCAATATCATAATTCATAATAGATATCATTATTGAGTTATTACAATATATCTTCGTTGGATTTTCATTATTGTACATGTTACAGCATATAATTATCACAGAAACTCTCGGGAATGTAATTTGTCTCGGGCGACACCGTGCAGAATCAGCTAGTTTTTAATACCTACGTGTTAATTGACTGAACCCCTCGAAAAAAAAAATTGTAAGTGCATATTACAATAATATGTATTCTTGCAAATTTTTTGATTATTTAGAGCTACGTGTCCACAGACCTACCAATATTACGTATACAATATAATGAAACAAATATTCCACATCGAGTGTTGCTATAATTTCAGTGGTACTTATTAAATATTAAAATGTATTCGTTACATACTTAACACCATATCGGACGACGCTTGTTAAAATATGATGAATATTTATGTTTAGGTAAGGCGATATTTTTGTGATAATAATGTATTTTATTATAACATTATGCGCTTTTTTCGTATGCAAAATTCCACGCGGTATAGATGTTCGAACAAGTAAAAATATATAAAAACCAATTTTAAATAAAAAAAAAATTTAAATAAATGGCCGTTTCAGAAAACCACGACTACTCGGTTTATACAGAGCCTATACTATAATTATTATGCTTTGATCGGACTCACAAAATATTATGTCATCACACGCGAAGCGGTTACAAGCGCGGCGACGTTCTGCGGACAACTATAATATAATATTATTATTATTATAGATAGGTACGCGTAATGTCGTTCTAATCGGTCTCGAGAGTTTAGAAGGGGCACACAGCAGCTGTAAATAGAATGTCGATTATCGAAATAGTATTTTTTTTTCTCTTTTAATCTCTACGCGTTTAAAATATATATTTATATACATATGATTAATTATTTTTCTAAGATAGGTACGTCTCTTTTATTGTCTGTACGAATGTACGATAGTGCTATTATTATTATTATTATGATTATTATTGGCATTAATTGTATGTCGTCGAACGCCAAAAAAAATCGTAACTTCTTGCTCGAACACCGATCTTGTACGATTTAAGAATCTGTTTTTAGGTTTTTTTTTACCCTCAAACTATAAGCTTTACTGTACAGTGTGAGCGGATCAAACGATATTTTATTAACACATTACTCTGTGCTTAAAATCGCATGACTATAAATTATTATGAAAGTTTAAATAATTGGTTTTTTTTTTTTACGGGTACCTACCTATTTAGTTAGATGATAAATTATTATTACAATATTTAAAATCTGTTAAAACAACGTATAAGCGTTGTTTGTTTATAGAATCGCTAATAAACCAAAGTTTGTTCAATGACGTATTAACAACACAAATCCATCAACCACTACAAAATAATATGTGAAAATATAATATAATGAAAACAAATATATACTTAGATGGCCGTTTCCGATCCATAGCCATTATCTATTCAATGAATAAATAATAATAATAATAAATATAAGGTTGTACAATAAATTACAATTCGAATGCCAACTGAAATTAATACAAATATATTATTATGCCTGCCTGTATCATTGTTATGCCTTTTCCTGAATACCTATACACACTTAATACTGAAAACAAATTAATACAATATGGTATGATCACTTGTGCACTCACCCTTCTAATAATCATACGATAGCACGCGAGTCTCGAAATTTTAACAGATTACTGCAGCATGCCTACAGTTAACTCATGTCGATGTCAATAGTACCTAATATTTTATACAAATCAATAAAATTGTAAGTACTATAGTACTATACCGTACGTCATATAATAATATATAAATTATATGTAAAATATCGCGTGATTTTTAATGTTGATGACCTGCATCCGAAGTAAATAATTAGGTACCTTTCTTTATAATAGTCAGGACGTGATGATGGCTGTCGAAATAATATCAGATTGGACTTTGTAAAGAATATAATATTAACGAATATAGTTCCCGTACAAGTTCTTAATGATATTAAGTACATACAATAAACGTATTTGAAACACTAAACATAGGCATCACAAAGGATGATAATAAAATGTAATATAAAAAAAAAAATAAAATAGTACCTATTATAAAAAGATAATAATAATTAGCCATTCGACAAACTTATAGATTAATGTGATATAAGACTAATTGCATTATAATATTATTATAACAAATTACTATAATATTTATGTTATAATAACATTGTATAATAAATAATAATATTATAATATTATGCTACATACCTTATTGTTTTTCTTGAGTACTTATCTACCAATGCATCTAATATAAAAAAATATTCTATACGTGTATGAACGGTACCTTTTATATTAGGTATTGAATATTCATATTCAATTCCGTTGCAATAGCTTTTTATAGAATAACATAATAGAGTATAGGTTATAGTCTAAATAGTATGATTAATGCTTGGGACCGGGTAAAAATTCAAACTACGAACACTATAACTGTATCTAACTTCCCTGAAAAAACCATATTTTAAATTATTAACGTTCCTCAATACACGTATTTAATTTTTTTGTCTAAAATAATAACTATTATGTATTTATTATCTATTATAATAGAATACAAATATTAGTAATATTATTTTTATATAATTTATATTAAATTAAACAACTGTATAATGTATACACAGTAACACCAATATTTTGAGGGATACTTACCATTATTCTATAACTATACTATTTAAAAATTCCCTTTTTTTACATTTATATTGGAAGAAATATATTCTATTTCGAAATATGAAATCAAAAATGTACGTTTTCGATCAAAAAAGTAAAAACTTAAGAAATTAGAACGATAAATAATATTAAAATATATTGATTTGCTATAATAAAGATTTTCTAATGGCTTTAAATTATCTAAAAAAAAAATGTTGATAAACATTAAAACTTTCCAAGTAAATAAATGTTAATTGTTAAAAGGTGATGGGTACCTATGCGTAATTATATATAAATTATAAATATCTTTACAACTTTACCTACAGGCTACAATACTTACTTACATTAGGTAGATGGTTGGTTATGGATTCGTCATTAAAAACCCAATTGGTCACCCATCCGACTACCGACGCCGGCTGATGCTTGACTTCAGAACACGTCAGTGACTGAGGCCAACCCCTGAACTACACCCACTTACATATTATATTTATATGTAAGCTCCCATTAATTACTTAGAGCGTAGGTATAAAAATACAAACATATTATTTACCTTATAACTGTCATAATACTAGAACCACTTGCCACACTGCGCTAAAATATACAATTTATAATAATTTTACAAATTTTGCGTGTAAGATGAGTTGCCTATACAGCATACCTTATGACTTATAAACAGACATACCACAATAATAATATTATAGAAGACCAATATAATTTTAGACGATGAAATAAATACAAAAATTAATCCGCCAACACAATTAATAAACAATACGTATGCTGAATTTTTGTTTAGACGTTAAAAGTTATTGTAATCCTGAAATTTTAATAGACGAAATTGCAAAACATGATGTTACATAACACTCATAGCCGCAAATAGAGTTTGAGATTTGGAGAGATATAATAATATTGAATGTTGGAAATGTTTTTGGGTTGCTATTAAAATTTTTGGTGGGCTTAGCCCCTAAATCCCCCTCCCCCAATGCGCATGTTGATGTTTTAATGCTATGTTAATCTCAATTCCATACGACTAGTGGATATTTTGTCTTTAAAGAATACATTTTAAGCGTTTATTTCAGAGTAAGACAAATGGTAAATATAAGACTAACCAAAATTATTTTTTTTACTTATATAAAAAATAACTACGGTTTTATTGCTCAATCTTTTTCAAAACTAGAAAATGCTTCGCTTTTACTCTACCACTATAATTTGAAAATTATTGGTAAGTACCTCATCTCATTGTATATTTTACTGAATTTTTTTTTTACATATTTCAAATTAAATGCATATATTACCATATTATATTGCATAATATATATCATTACTATAATAGATAAATCCTATCCCTAAACCTGCGACGAGTGTATACAACTGTATAATTTATATAATATATGTGTATAGAGGCACAGAGGCACAGAGAGAAAGAGAGAAAGAGAGAGAGAGAGAGAGAGCAAGCGAGATTGCAGACAATGTTTGTACTTAGAAATGAATATCGTTGTCTCGGGTGAACGAGATGATTTATGCGTTCGTATCTCACATTATACTATAATATAGTAAATCACTAATCATATTGTCAAACGGTATACTGGTAATATTTAAGGCATAAATACCTACCTAAAATATAATACATGGGTTAATATAGTTTCAGTGTATATTGTACAATAATATTAATAATATATGATATTAATGATACTTTATGTCTGTATATAGAGTATAGCAAGTACATCGCTTCACGTCGCCATCGTACTGCTGCGCGTCACGGTCACGACTGTTATATACGACCTTAACCAGCTGAAATTGTGTTACGAGCTTTTTCGTCGTGAGATATAGGTATATTGTGTTAGAAAAATTTTAACCGACTCTTCAACCACAGAGTTCGTAGAGCTTGAAAAATTATGTTCTCTTGCAGACAAACAATATACCAATATACCTATCTCATATTATACTCGGAGTATATTAGAGCAGTGCACGTCGCAAACGGTATTTTGTTATTATATTGCCATCAATATTAAGTAACATTACTGCGTATAACCTCTGCGAAAAGCCGAGGTATTCCGAAGTTTTATTTTATGTCGATCAAATAAATATTTAAAATTTGTACGTTTCTAGTGTTTTATTTTTTTATTTTACCGCATGCCGCTTCGCCTTACATTGATAAATAATAATTAATATAGGTAACCTATAACTAATATGGTACCCACCATTAAATATTAATTACTTAAATTATTATTATTATTAAATTATTCATCACTTTAATTATTGTTTATTTGTATTGATACGGTGTGCTCACGGATCCTTACAATGTATACCTATTATATTTCACGGCGCACGATTTACATTCATATTATTATAATATAATAATAAATAAATACAACTGATGCGCAGGCAGTGTTGGGTAAGTTACTTTTAAAGAGTAATTAAGTTAGTTTACTCGTTACTAAGAGATAAATGTAATATTAAGTTACTTTATTCGTTACTCTAATAAAATTGTAATGAAATTACTTTACTTTTCGAATAGAAAAGTAACTCATTACTTTCTCGTTACAAAAAAAAAAATTTAATTTCATGGAAATTATCTTTTGCAGGCAAATTGAACAAGCAAATTCTTTATAAAACCTGTATAGTTAATAGGATCGTATAAAACTTAGTCTTCCACGCAAGCTATGAATAGGAAACCTATTTAAAGGAATCAAATTAAATAATAAATTTAATTAACTGTTTTCGTGAT